ATAGCAACTTAACAAAAGTCTATCACGACTAAATTTACCTATAATAGGAAAAACAGTAAAAATGTACATATTTTCGAATGGGTTAGTTTTATTGTTCTAAAAGTATTTCTATCTTCCAGGAAATTTGATTCTTAGTTAGAATGCATTATACTGAACATTATTTACCCTGGCTATATTATAAAAAAATATAATTTAATCTTTATTTTAAGAGGGACAAAAATCAAAATCTAAATTACTATAGTGAATTCATTACATTCTACTGTATGTCTTTAAGAAAGCAGTTTAGAAAATTGCAGTTGTGCAAGATAATTGATCCTTTAAAATGTCAAAGAGAAGAAATATATATATAAAACATTTCGGAAATTCCACTTAAAATTTTCACTGAAGGAGGTCATTTCACATCATCTCTGACTTTACTGAAATGGTATGATCGCACTGCTACATCTGTTTTTATTATATTTCAATTATCACCTTATATCTAATTATGGGAATAAAACTCTTTAGCATCTATGTGATGCAAGTTAATTAGCTTGTTTCGCCAGATTTAACATCTCACGGAAAATTTATGAAGAATTGAAATTATACAAAGTCTTTGGCAACATCCTCAGCAAAGAAGCTGCGTTATTTCAGTTGTAATGCGAAATAATAATTTTGAAAAATAGCAAACTATTCTACTACATAGAAGAGTGTAGATAAATTTTAATGATAAACAGTGTTGGACTGCAAAGAATGCATAGATAACACCGTATCCTGATTTCATTCAGTTCTGAGTGAGATTTACTTACAGCCTACGATTCAGCAAACTTAACGCAGCGTATAAAAGTAAAAAAGTATGTTATGTTTCATAATCTGTTTTAAATTATTTTGATAATTATGCCTTGTAAACTATACAAGTGTAAACAACTGCTAAATTTATTTTGTATGTTATATCATAACATAAAATGACCCTATGAAATGAGTATAACTCTTATTTTCGGAGTTCATTTTGAAATGATCATATCTCAATTAGTTTGAATGTAATTGACGTTAGCTATGATTTTTAATTGAATATGTAAACGTACGAATCTTCTGTCCTCTATCATTTGGTTTGCCAAGCATATGTTACTCTCATTCCATAGAACAATATTATACTATAAAATTTCTGAAACAAATGTTATATGAGGCTACTCGTAAAAATAAAATACATACTTGCTTTTGCTGCAGCTCAATCGGAAAATCCGAACAAAGAAATGAAATATTAAAATACAGCAACTTATGGTATGACTTTTATGGGTTTTAGCTGTAGGAACAAAATTCGTGCAACCTTGTACGTTGTACCTTTTCCTACACTCGAACGTAGAAGAGCTTAAGGTCTTTACAAATAATAATAATAAAAAATTTAAAGCGATTAGTCTTCAACAGGACTGAACCGAGTGCATTCATAAATCGGATGATTCTCTAGCCTATACATTTATTATCATTTCTCCGCGCTTCAGAATGCTATACCTAATTTAACTTTTACATTTTGTTTCGTGTGAAAATGATAAAAATATGAAACTGAAAGATACATTTTCGATGATGGGCAGGAAAGAAATTGCCATGCCAAATGTCCTCCTTTGGCTTGCCTGTTTACCGTCTTGGAGAATAAAAGCAACTTTCATTGAATATGTCAATTTATAATTCATAGGGGATTATCTTTAGTAACTTTGGTTATATGGTTACTAGTCTTCTAACTGCTTTTGTCACTGAGCCACATATTTCATAAGATCCATTCTATATCATGTGCATTGTTTCTATGAGTTCAATTGATTAATTGTTTTAAGTTGTAATTTCTTAAGATGTTGGAGTATGGCTGTGATTGTTTCCTTAGTGCAAAGCTAAATAATGGGCTATCTGCACTCTCTCTTTCTCTCTCCACCGCGTGGAAACGACCCCGGTTTTTTCCTTGTAGATTCGTAAACTTACCGCTGACCCACCGAGGGGCATAGAGTATGAAAAAAGAACATTTCTTACATATCATTATGGTACAATTTGTAACTTTTACCCAAACTTTGTGATTTTAAGATAATATTTTGGGAAAGGTTTTCATTGAATTTTGACTTTAGCAAATTATATTTCTAATGCTGTGCAACTTTATTTATTTATATAGAAACATGTATATTTTGAAATGTTTTCTTTTACATTTCTCAGTCACGCGAAACTCCAGGGATCTTTAGCTCTAGCTATATTTGAGAATTTTCCCGTGACATCTTCCCATGAAAAATATCTGAAAGACGATTTTGAATCATTGACAGTTACAATAATGTTGAAATTAATTTGCCGTATCTAAGGTCATTTTAAAGTACGTGCATCACAGCATATATAATAGACAAACATTTAATGTTTTATTAGATTAATTTTGTGTTGAGCCAAACTGGATATTTCGGCATTAAAGATATGGATTCTTTAATAACGTAGTAGAGATCCTTAACAGATGCTAGCTTGATCAGTTTAACGTAATTTTGTTTTTACCGTAAACGTAAGGAAACTAATGAAGTCATATTGATGCTTATTGTAATTGTTTGTAAGAAGCCTTGACTGCTGAGATTCTTGATAATTCTTCAGGATTTGTTTGCTTGT